GGAGAAAGGATAATGTTGTCCTTGTCTTCAAGAAAGACAAAAAAGAACCCGGGAACTTACAGATCTATCAGTCTAACAAAAATCTCTGGGGAAATTCTGGAGCAGATCAGAAAGTAGTCAGTCTGCAAACACCTTGAAAATAATGCAGTGATTACTACAAGCCAATATTAATTTCTCAAGAATACTACCAGACTAATCTGCCATTTTTAAAAAAAATCTCCTTGGTTGTGTCTTCTTATTCTATTTTAATGTTTTTTAATTAATTTTTAAAATGTTCTAAATCAGGGGTCTCAAACTCACCTTACCTGGGGACCGCTGGAAGTAGAGTCTGGGTGAGGCTGGGCCGCATCAAGCGGTGGTGGTGGGCCGCTCATCCCGTGTCGCTCCCGGAGGTCGGCCTGGGCGCCGCCGGCGCTTTGAAGGCTGCAGGGCCCCTCCCCGTGCCCGCCCGTCCCGGCAATTGGCCTGCGAGTTTGAGACCCATTCTAAATGCTTTTCATGTATTGTATTGTACTGTCAGTGGCTATCAGTCCTGCTGGCTATGTGCTTCCCCCTTCACAGAGCTGGCCTGCCTGCAAGCCCCAGTTGCGGAGTTGCTTGGGCAGGGGGAGGTCTTGCACCCACTCTGCTTGAGGCGGGAACCCAGGTACTGTAAACCTCCCACTCCCAATTCAGCAGGTACATTAATCTTGGTGATCCAAATTGCTCGTTTCACCATCTGTAGTGGCAACAATTCAGCTCTTCACAGGTTTAGCTGGATTATATTGTCTATGCATGCTACTGATCTGGCTACCCCCCCACCACCGCAAAAGCCTACATCCCAGTACTTGGGTTGGGTTACCAAATGGTTAGGGTCGCACCAAGAGGAAAAAGCCCTCTTAGATCAGAAACCCACATCCTTCTAATGTCTAATGTCTTCATTCCAGGAAATATCCCAAGAGAGAAAAAGGAGGCAACAGATAGCAAAACCAAAATACAACAAAATACAACCAGAGCACTGACCGAGCTCAAGGGTGGTGCCCTCAGTCACACACTCTCAGCGCACTGCTCACCCTTTGCGAGAAGAGGTGATGCATTTCAGAGAACAGTACATCCAAAGGTACTTGTTAGGTAAAGCAAGAATCATCTGTGGCTTCCTTCCTAGGCCAGGTAGGAGAAAGTGAGGTATTAAAGGAGATGTATTTTGCCCCGTTCCAGGGAATGGGTTATCTTATCTCAAGTTGAAGTTTCTGGTTTGCGCAAGCTGTTAAGAACCTGTTTGCTTTCCAGGTGGAAAACAGCCTGATCAGAAAGTTCATCACAGGCAGGAAAAACTAGGGCACAGAAGGGCAGTCTGATGCCGCAATGTATTTACTCAGGTGTTCCTTAGTGCAGAAATTGAACTTGTCTACTCGGTGAAAAGGCCGTTCAGCAGTAGATGTGGCTTGTTTTCCTGAAGGTCCAAGGTTCAGGTTTGCAGGTAGGACTGGAAAAGAGTCCTAGGAGATTCACTGCTGTAAATGTAGCCCAAGTCTCCCCAAGTCTTTTTGGACCTATGGGCACCTTTGGGAATTGGAGAAACTGCTGTGGGCACCCCTCGAAGACAACCAATCCATGGATCAACATTTTGGCATCTAACCAGCTGCTTTTATGGATCTTAGGTTGTGTCTTTCACCAAAAATATTTGTTTCATGTCCATCAGACACCCAACATGTTTTTTAAAAAAAGATAATCCAACTGGGCCAATTGCTGGTATTTTAAACACTTCTTTTAAACAGCTATTTTGGCCATGTCCAGTAGTTGCTTATTTTGGGGAGATTATTTCATGGATAAATGCTGTACTGGAACTGTCTTTAATATCCTCTGATGCACATACATTTTATCAGCTTTGTGCAAATTGAGTTGTTTCTTGCTATCAGCTCCAGGGTATACCAAACAGAGGGTGTTCCAAGAGCAATTGTGCCAACCATCTAGGTCAGGGGTCTCAAACTCGAGGCCCACGGGCCAATTGCCGGGCCAGCGGGGCACGGGGGAGGGTCCCTGCGGCCTTCAAAGCGCCGACGGCGCCCGGGCCGGCCTCCGGATGAGCGGCCCACCACCACCGCTTGATGCGGCCCAGCCTCACCCAGACTCTACTTCCAGCAGCCCCCAGGTTAAGTGGAGTTTGAGACCCCTGATCTAGGTCATTTCCAAGTCCCACAGATCAGCCAGGGTTTCAAGAGGAGCACCAGCCCAAAAGTCCCACAGAGCTCTGGAAACTGTTCATATCTATTAGCCTCTGGGGCAGAGCATCTTAACAGACTCCCCACCCTTGCCAAGGGGGAACAGCTGTTGTCAGTCTAAACTGCAGCAAGCAATGATCTGAACTTGCACATTCAAAATCTGGCACACTCAAGAGCACCATCCTCATTTACAGCCCAGGAGACCCAATCTAGAAAATGTCCTGGTACATGCATTGGACAGCCTCATAATTCACACGGAAGCCATGAAATCCTCAGCTGCGCCAGACAGGAGACCCTTGACATGGATGTTGAAATTCCCCAGGACCGGAGTCTGGGGACCCGCAACACTGCGTCCAAGACCACCTTCATCAGCCCAAGGAGGGGGAGTGGTGGGTCGTAGTGTGGGCAGCAATCCAGCAGAATCCCCAAGCGGTCCCACTGGTCCAACACAAGATGCAAATAATCCAGACTGGTTGTCAGATGGACACACGGCCTGGAGAATGAGCATTCTTATGGACTATGGCAACCCACCACCACACCCTCAAGTCTGCCCTGATGCTGCACACAGCACCCCAGTGGGTGGAAGAGACTAGCTCCTGCCTGCTTACCCAGCCAGGTCTCAATGACACATGCCAGATGGGCCCCCTCATCCACTCTCAAATTGTGGGCGAGTGGGGGCTTATTCTGCACCATTTAAAAGCAGCATCCAGAGGCCAGACGGCAAGCTGGATGGGGCAATCATCGAACGGGCTGGTGCAAGAACTGGGACGTTGCACAGCCGTGCGCCATTTGGGCCTTCTTCCCTTTACCTGGTCGGTTCTCCTCTCAGCGCTTTTATCTCCCTCCACCCTTCACCGGAGTGCCTGGGTCCCCATCTCCCCACTTGGCCCCATAGCCTCCCTGCCAGGCATATACCCACATTAGCAGGGCCAAACAAAGGAGTGAGGAGGAGGAGATAAAAATGCAAGCTCACCTCAGTGACATCCTGGAGGGGCAAAGCGAAGGGCTGCACCTGCCACCCAGCAGCAGTCCCGTTTTGGTGTCCCAGAAGGCTGCTACATTGCCAAGGGCCAGTTGACTCCACTCTATATTGATGTACTCTGCTGAAGCCACTGAAGATTGCTGGAAAGGTGGGGCGACCCCAGCAGAATCTGTCCCTCTTCAGTTCACACACTTTCTTGCCTGCTTGCCCATCACGGAAAGCAAGCTAAGCCCAAAGTGAATCTGTGCATGCTCACGGAACTAGGGTTGCACAACTGGCAACTGCACAAATGGCTGCTGTAGGTAGCAAACGAGAGCCGTGCCTTGATTCCTGGGGAGCACCCCAAGAATGCCGGGTGGGCTCCCCGGCAAATCTCTTCAGGGCCGCTACAACATGGACCAAAGGCTGAGGAACCGAGCCCAGGGAATCCAATGGATTCTCTGCCTCAAAATGTAACCCTCCACATCCCAAGTATCCAGAGAATTCGGGTCCTATTCATATCCTACAAATATGAACTGCATAGAACATCCTTAGGCAAAGGTACTTCCTACTATCGAACCCAACCTCTGGAAGAACATTTTTGGCACTTCTGTGAAGCATCAAGCTGTTCCAGAAGACAAATGACAATTTTTAATTGATAATTCAAGAACACTATCTTCATATTATTTTCGCTGTAGATTTATTACTTGTTTGAAAATAAATGTGTGTGTCCCACATACACCACTGATGCATTTACTTTTTAAAAGGTTAAATGCAGGCTGAAGGGCAGGCTAATCCCCCCACCCCCACATGCTACAAACCCCATCCTTGAAAAAATACCCACCACCCTGCACCATAATCAGGCTTTTAGAAAAGGCTGAAATTTTCCAAATGTCAAAGTGTTATTCCTTCTGCACAGTCCTGTTTGGTTCCTTGCTGTTAAAAATAGCTGGGCTGCATTCACTGCAAGTGCAACCGCAGAAATCCTTCCGTCCATTTTCTTGTTCACCTAGCAGAAAATATGCTGTAAATAGCTTTGGGAAGGTAAAGTTTGTTGCAGGATGAGAGGGCACAGCCCGAACTGTTGTATAAGGGAGGATCCGGCAAACCTGCCTCCCCATCCGGTTTTCAGTTTCAGCTAAAGCTCAGCACCCCCACTGTAACTACAGCACACCTTAATGCAGTCGGATCAGTCTTTTTCCTCTCCTGCTTCTTCACTCCCATGCAATTCTGCAAGGGGAGCTTGGCCTCCCAGAGATTAAGGACATCTTCTAGCTTAATAAGAAGGGGTTCTCAGCAATAGAAAAGCCGACTGTGAAGTTACTGTAGAGTCATTTAACTAGTAAGTCCAGCTGAGTGCAAAGCAGCCTCAGAACACGCTGCCTTAACACACGGGAATCCTGTGATGCTTCAAAGGCACTGAATTTGCTCTGGCATTCAAGACAGGTGCAAGGATTCCCCAGTTCCTTTGGCATTTGCCCTTCTTTCCCTGTGGTGGCTGATCTGATGGCTGTTTTTCAAACTATCACTTAAAACTGACTTACATTAATAAATTGCACTAAGCTGCCAAGGCTTGGTACTTACAACCTGAGTTTTCTTCAGGTTCAGTTCCAATGAATTCCAGAATTACCCCCACCCCATTTTCTGGAACATTCTGATCCTTATATCCAATTAGGGTTTTCTCTCCAAAATTTCACCACCATGAACACATGACAACTGCAACATAACTCCTTTGAGCTTGAAGAAAATGTGCTCTCCTCTGAGCTTTTGCAGGGGGTGGGAAAGCGGCCCTACAGTTTCAGGGCAGAATAATCAGAATCACAAGTACACCAGGCCAGGCAATTCTTAAGACCTTTATTAAGAGATGCTTGCAGTTTGACTTGAAAAAATCAGGTGTATATTCCATACAAATTAAAAATGAGGTTCTTAAAAATCCCAACTTGACCAGATATGAAACAATTTAAAAACCTTTAAAGGTGTATTGAGAAAAAACAGGCTTTTAAAAAACATGTTTGCTACTCCCAAAAGGAGCAGACTGCTTTAGGTAAAAATAATAAAAATCCCATGCTGCATAGATAATGCAGAGAGTTCGAGTTATCTGGTCAACAGCAAAAAGCAAGCACTTAAGGTCTTCAGTTCCAATTCTTCTGTTCATTTCTTATTGCTGGAATTTTATATTCTCTTTATTTCATTCTCTCTTCTTTGATGACTAAACTGAAAAGAGAAAAAAACAACGAATATTACCTTACCTACACCCTGTAATTGTACACAGCCAGATGTCCGTGGACTTGGGTCTCCCATGCATGCCGCCACCAGACCATCTCGTCTTGGCTACTCTAGCAAAGACAGACTAACTGGGCTTGATGCAGAAGCCTTCACAGGATGGAATGCTCGTCCATTAAAAATATCCGTGCATTGTGTGCATGAAAAGCAGGTGCCTGTGAGGATCATGCAAGTGTAGACTTTATCTCGATAGAAAACTGCTGCACAAAGACATGGAGCCCATGAAGCAGGCTGAGCGGCACAGTGTGAACTCCGATTGTCTCAGTTGCTGATTGGGAACCCGTTGCAACATCCAGTCAGACCACGTGCTTCAGCAGTTCTCCGGGGGTCAGGATTTAGGAACCTTAATGCATCTGCTGCTGCTTCTTGTACAGCCACACATTCAAAGACTTCACTTCTTAGTAACATTCAAAACTTGAACTCAAGACTTACTGACTTGAAACAAATCCTGCTGGAGCCTTTAAGACAAACTTCTAAAAATATGCATACTTTGACCTCTAGGAGATTAGTCAGACATCTGCCAACTGTTTCCCATTATGCGGAGTACACCATAAGCATGCTTTTTGCCTTCCAATTAAGCAATGCCTTTTTAGTTGTAGGAAGTCCTTCCCAACATGTATGTTCCTTAGGGTTTCCTCGTCCTTTCCAAAAGCAAAGGAGGTCATTTGGCTCGAGATGTATGAGCTGCTGAAAAGGCCATTATTCTGGCTGTTCCTAAGTCGGTGATCTGGCCACGGTTATCCATGACTTGGCAATGTCACAACTAGACTAGAACAGTGCCCACCTCACAGGGCTACCCACCCCTTGACGAGCGCAGCAGCTCCCACAGCGGAAGGCCTGCATGGACTGCTAGCCATTCCCCACCTTCAGTGCAAGAAAGGGCCCGCTCAGTCAGTCAGACCAGCAGACACGGTCCTGTTGAGGACACCCTCACCTGGGGAGGCCCACTTGCTGGACACACAGGAAAGAGCTCTCTGGTGCTGCTCCCCAAGTCTGCTTGAGCCAGGACAGTCTCTACTCCACGTCAAGACACATCCTTTAGAATTCAATTTACAGTGTGCTTCTCTTTAGGCTCTCAAAAAATTTTAGTAGGTTCATTTTGCTTAACATACCTGTGTTTTGAAATTTGTGAATTGCCTACATAGGTTATGGAAATGTCACAAATATACTAAAATGTGATAAACTAAAATAAATAAAACAAAAAATAAATGACTGAAACAGGGAAGGCAATGCTGGACTCTTGTGACTCTGGACCTAGTATGAGCACCTTTTGGCCCCCTCCCTCTTCTCCATTAAATAGATCAACACCAAAAGCTTCATGTTTTGAAGATATCCTTTAGAACTGCACAAAGTCAAAATGACCTTTCTCCACCCCAAGGTTAATCCAATAAAACTGGGATTGGGGGGTGGATGGACACATTATCCCCTTTTGTTTTGCTTACCACCCACTCCAACTAGGGTTTCTGGAGAACCCAAGAGTCTGCTCATGACTTTGTGATGTTCATACCAACCACAATAAAGAGCCTTTGACTGTTTTATTTTTTATAAAGACCTCTCTTCATTGCCACCAACAATTCATTTGGCATGATTCAAGTCCAGAGCAAGAGGTAAATTAAATATGTTCATGAGCTGTGTATTTCACTGGCTGCTGAAATCAGCCCCCTTCCCCTAGTCATAACAGGACACCTGGCAGAAGCTGCCACGCACTCACCCGGATGATGGTAGAGATGGTAAGCCGGCATTTACTCAGCCCCGCCCTGCTCGGCCTCGGGAGCGGACGTGTTCTCAGCTGATGGTTCGGCTGCCTTTGTCTCTTTGCCATCTTGTGGTTTAGGGTTTTCTGGGCGTCTGCGTCGGTAATTGAAGTTACGACGGTACCGACGTTGAGGTGGCTGCTGACCCTGGGCCTCATCCCCCTGGTTCTCTTTGTCTTCTTCATTGCCTTCCTCCCTGGGCTGTCGTTGACGAGGAGGACCCCTGAAACGTCCAGCAAGGCATTAAGATGCTCAACTCACCTTTTAATTGGAAAGCAACTTGAAATGCTTCAGCGTTGAATATGCTCACCTGCGATACCGTGGTCTGTAACCCCGATACATGTTCTGCCTGACAGGTCTGCCTTGTTCTCCTGCACCTTGGCTGTCAGCACCCTGAATGATGGAAGAGGTAATGAACAGAGTGCATGTTTTAAAATCCTGCCCTAAGCAAGCTGAGAACTTGCAGTAAAGAGTGATTCATCTTATAGGAAGTCCATTTTCAGCCTAAACCACATAAACTAACAGAACTCTCCATTTGAGTGCTAACAGAAATAGAGGTCAATTATTTGACTTAATTGAGAGGAAAAACAGGTACCTAGGAATTACTAACATGGGGGGAAAGCAATCTTATTGCAACTGTGTTCTCTGCAGAGAATGCCTTGGATTTTCAGACAGGCTAGCAAGCTAAAAGCATCAGAGACTACAAAAACAAGGGTACAAGATCCACAAGGGCACGTCGGGAAACAACTCTCATTGTTAAGGCTAGTTCTGCACTTACCAGCTGGCTATGCACATGACAAGTGATAACAGCATGCATGTTAAATGTCTAAGTAAAGATTTTTTGCACAACCCTTGATTTACAATTGTACATCTCCAAGAAGCAAATATGTGAGCCTCACAAACTCACACAACAGCAGCCCCAACCCTTCCCCCCGTGACTGCAAGCCATCCTTATTAATGAAAGTTACCTCCACTATTTCTCCTTGCACAGGAGCGTTGGAATACTGTGGTCGCCGGCCATAGGGTCGACGCATGTAGTAAGGTGGGTACCGCCTCCTGCGGTAGGGGCGGCGCTGCTGGGACTGGCCTTCTGGCAAGCTCTCTGACCCCTCATTCTTTTCCCCACTCTCACTGTTTTGGTAATTTTGCTGGTAGTTGCGTGGAGGACCTCTACGCCGTGGATATCGTCTGTACTGGTTACGGTCTGCTGCATATTTACTGCCTTGCACTGGAACGCCACCAGGACCTGTAACGTTGGCTGCCTCCGCTCCCTAAAAATAGCCACCATGAGAGAATGTGAGCAGGAGCCAGCTCTGCCAGCTTAAGTACACAGGAGCACCCATGCTGCATCCCAGACAAAAAGAAGCTGTTGGCCTTTGCCACATCCTACTCTCCTTTGGCCCTCCTACTCAGAACTGCACTCCTCCAAAGAGCAAGCAAGTACCCAGGTTTGATCAACTCACCTTTTCTCCTTCAACCACATCAAACTCCACAGTCTCTCCATCCCCTACACTGCGAAGGTACTTCCTGGGGTTATTCTTCTTTATAGCAGTCTGATGAAAAAACATTTCAGATTTAGACTTGAGCACAAGTTGCTGTGGTTTAACGAGTATGAGACTTTTCTAGATTAAGAATGTACCTGTGAAAAACAATGTTTGAGAAGAGGATGGGGTGAAGATGAATCTATCCTGTGAGCTGGAATGTAAACAAGGAGGACATCAAACATGTGAGTTTCCCTCCCAGCAAGCTGTCTCAGGCAGCCATGGGAGGGACTCCAAATGTACTGTGGCTGGCGGACAGACTCGGACATCCGTCATGCCCAGGTGGTACAGGAAGCATGTGCTGGATGAACAATATGGCTTACTGGGCGCCCTTCCAGCCCTCACTCTATATCCCAATGAAGTTAACAAGCAAAGAGAAATGGGCGCTTCTCTGACGCTTCCTCCCAGGCATCCATGTAATGCAGGATAATCAGTTCGGAAGTTAACATGAATGCCATAAGTTAGTCTCTAAGTGGTCCCACTGAACAAACTCCTGTCTCTTCAAGTGGCAGCCACTTGTGCTCTTGGCCACTCATGTGACTGCTCTCTATTCAGCTGACCTTCATAGTTTGCTTACTGAACACTTTTGGGTGTCAATAGTAACAGCTGCACTTGGGAACAAAGTTAAATGCAGCTGACAACATTTTCCTGGTACCGGACGGCCTCTGAACAAGCAAACACACCAAGCCCATCTGTGAATGCAACCATTTTCAAAGTCTTTATCCTCAAGTTGTTCAGAAACAGAAGCACTAAAACAGAGAGAAATCTGCCTTGTTTCACAAGGGGGTCTGCCTCCACCTGAGCTTCCTGGCAAGAAACCCAACCCAACCCAAGGAAGGCAAATTGACCAACACCAAGAAACAGATTTCATAAGCCAAAGAGGCAAGAAAGACACATGCCTGCTCCAGCCAAATGTCTTATCTTGAACAGTTTTGATAGTGTGCTTTGTTTAACCCTTTCACTAATTTCCAAAACATTTCTCATGTATCAGCAGCTTCATGGCACCAAACAGTATGAGGCACACCTGTCCAATAAAGTATGTGAGGACATGGGCAACTGTTAAAAATCTGCCTGTGAACCCAATGATGCAAGCAGGCACAAGCCACTGTGTAACCTAAAATGCCAGTTCTGGTGCACCAAAACAAAATGAAGTGTACACAAGGGAGCTATGGGACAGAGACCAACTCACAGGCCAAAAATATTCACATGTGCTGCAGGAAAGAACTGTCCACTTTGCCTCTGCAGACGAGGAATGCAGCAAAACAATTAAAGAAAAAACGAGGAGATAGCCACAAGGCAAACATCAAATCTGTTGGGGATTTGTAGGCTCTTAGAATCACTTTTTGGCAACCCTGTATTATCAAGTACCTACCACACTTAGTAAGAAAGCAATTGTCTATTTTATTCTGAATCTGGATAAACAAACAGAGGTTCCTTTGGTCTGAAGCAACAATTATTCCCCCCCATCCCCGCAAAGAAAATGATACTCTTCCGTATGTTTTGGCAAAGGCACAGGGATATCAATTCATTAGAAACGAGTATATCTTGTGGCATAAACGAGCAGTCTCACCTGGTGGACAAACACATCTTCCTTGGTGTCATTCCTGCAAAATAAGGTGTTTATAGTTCAGAAGACATGACACAAAGAACCAGCATTCTCCAGCAAGGAGTGGTAGCAAGTTTTGGAGAAAAGCCAGCATGTAGTGCTGAGATACTGCCAAAGAACAACATATATCACTTCTCTAGTTGACAGTCATGACTTTCTTGTACTAAAAATACAGGGAGTATATTAACTTGGAAGTTTCATATTTCTTTTTTGCAAACTCTTGCAATTCTGGCTATTATCAAGCATGCTTAAGTTAGCCAAACTCTTTCTGGACACACAACAGCTCTTTTTTTGCAGAAACATTTTCATTAATATTTGATATACAAAAACCCTCTCATGGGAACATAAATAGTGACTAAAGAACATTCCAATAATATGCCCCACAATATTATTTTTTTCTGAAAGCAAATTCTATTTTATACCAAAATGAGGTCCCTGTCTAAAGAAGGTCTCAAAGCACAGCAAAATAAAAATAGCAGGGTTTCTGGGTACCCTGTATAATCATCAACCCTTTCCATGCTATGTTCAATATATAACTTGTCACAAGGCATGACTTTCCATCTAAAAGAAAGTGGGATTACTTCATAAAGTACTTCCCACCATCTTCCAGTAGAAGCTCACACCACACTGTGGACAGCAACAGCAGGTGCTGGTCAGAGTTTACAGCTGCACACAGGTGACGCTTCAGGTGGAACAAAACTTTTGAAAATCTGCTGCAAAAAAAGATGAAGGACAATGACTCTGACCAAGCAACAGTGTTGATCATGTGCTGCAAGCAGTGAAGTGAGTGGGCAGAACCACTTCCAGCCCAGGGGCAAATTAAATTTTGGAGAGACACCTGAGGGACACATTCCAGTGGGCGGGACTAGCACATTTCCCATATTGTATTTAGCCTTTTAGAATAGGGACAAACTGCGGGAATCAGGAGACCAATAACAATTGGTGGCTGGGGTCGAGTAAAGGAATATAGTCAGCCTGCCTGGGAGGGTCCCTTTTCATCACATTGCAGAAGGTAGCCCCTTGGTAAAACCAGAGTCACATGCTTCTATCTAAAATTTCTTGCCAAACTCATTTCAATCATGCCCAGCAAGACCCTCAACTGCCTGACTCTCTGAGATCAGTAAGACCCACCTGCTTAGAGACCAAGACATACAGAAAGGATGACAGTTTCAAACGGTAGAGACTGAACAGCTTTGCTGTGTCTACTCAGCATGTTTGGCTGTGGTAAAACTACAAAGTGTTGCGGGATGCAGGAACAGAAATGGGAAACTCAGGAAAAGCTGCAACCCCCATTTAAGGTCCTACTGACTTTGCATTTAATAGCAGCACCCAAGGACAAGATGATGTGAAGAGGAGGAACAGAGTAAACCTAATTCCTGACATACAAAAGTCACATTAGCCTGTGACCTTAACAGAAATCAACACTTTTCGCACAACAGATTATGCACACAACAGGGTATCTTAGTGTGACACCTCTTCCACACAGCAGTTTCTCCCAACTTTGTGCTACCCAAATCCACTGGACTACAATTCCCCAGAATTCTTGACCTTTGATCATGCTGACTGGAACTGCTTGAAGTCCCAAACATCAGGAAAGGACCAACCAGGGAAGGACCATTACAGACAGCTGACAAGTAGAACACCTTCAGCTCTATTTTTTGTTTTTTCAATAGTTGTGTGCCACATCTTTGACCGATTAAAAATGATCTGGCCTGGGGCATTTCTCTGGGTTAGGTCTAATGACCTGTAATCTAATTAACAGAGTAACTCTTGGCACCTCCTTTGAAATACAAGCCGCTAGACAGCTATGCCATCTGGACCACTTTTCTCTCCTTCTAGCTGAAGTTGCTCTAGTTTTAACTCATGCCATTTCTCATAATATTTGCATCTATAAAGATATGGAGAACATTTGATAGGTACGAACTATCCTTTGGAACCAATGGGTTTTGCTCTGAGCCCCTTCACCTAAAGTGCAAAATCCTGAACAAAGAAAGGCTATTATCACTGGAATCAGATCTTGTCAACTAAATGTTTCAGTCTAGATCAGCCTTTCTGCTCTACTATCCAATTTTCCTTTTGGGACTGTGCTGCCTAGGACTGAAATGAAACACCAAGTACTCTACAGCCCTTAGGCAAGGAGTAGAATTGTTTCCTATGCATGGCTTCACACCACTTTTATGCAGTCACTTAGCTTAGCCCAGCCCTAAATTTCTTTCAGAAAGGCTGGAATTCCTGCTTATGTTATTTTTTTAGCCCTGAGCTGAATTGCAGGGCCCAAATCTTGACACCTGGAATAGAAGGATGGCACTTACAAAGAAATGCAAAGACATAGTGTATTTTTAAATAAGTATTAATTCCTACAGAAACAGACCCTAAATGAACCACAACATACAGAAAAGAGGTTTAAGTTGGAGAGAGAAGAAGAGTAAAGTCCTTTCCAAATATTCAGACACTGAAACAGATAACTTTGCCAGAGTTCAGCTGGGGACAGTTGTATTTCACTTGCCCAAATCAGTGTAAACATACGCACAACAAACCCTCAGCCCCTTCTCACCTGTTGATGAAGCCATAGCCATTCCTTACATTGAACCATTTCACTGTCCCCAAAACCTTCGTTGCTACAAGAGAGAAAGGGTGATACAAATTAAGAAGTGCAAGGCATGATAAGTACTTCAGCCCCATCCTTCATGAAGAACCTGTTTTCGCAGGCAGGGCTCACAGAGTTATCACTTGAATGAAACAGAATGGCTGTGCCATCACAGACCAAAGGTATACTTCTTGTGTTTCCAGTTGACACAGGTGTTATGAGTTCAACCGGGCGCGGGGGAGGGGGGGCTTGGAGAACACCCTTTCCACCTCAGTCTCCCATCTAAAATAGCAGGAGGGAACCGTTTCACTTTACTAGAGAGTTATGTTACTGCAAGTACATATGCTTATGCTGATATGCTTCTATAAAATGCTGCAATCACATTCACCCTTTATGTAGCAATATACACCACAGTGGGACTGACTTCTGAGTTGGAGGCATTTTAAGATTATAATACACAGTCTGATCCTATACTTATTCCCAAGTAAGCAGGCACCTCAAAGCATGCAATCACACCCTTGAGACAGCTTTTCCTTAAGGCTGCTAGGCTGCAGACCCAGCTGTACACTCCTCCAGTGGGCTTTGTACCTCCAGAATGGCTGAATAGCCAAAGAATGGGGTGGAATCATGTGCACACACATGGGTTTGCCAATGGGTCAGCAAAATAAATTCACAGAGCAAAGCTGGGGCTGCTCCTGAGCCTTTAGCAGCTGCTTTATTTGCAGAGGTCAGCAGCTGAAAGCTTTCATGACAAGCTGCTTGTGGCTGCCAACCAATAGGCTATTTTAAAAGTAAACAATACAGGGTCTCCTCTTTATGTTTATCCAACAGCAGTCCCAGTGAACTCAAAAACTTGGTAGGGGCCCCAGCTCAAGGAGGGATGGGGCAAATCGCTCCCTTTAAAAGAGCTGGAAAACTGTTGCTGCCAGCCAGTGTGGCCCATGCTAAGCCTGATGGACCCCAGCAGGCCTTTTCTCCATCTAGATATGGACAGGATGACACTGCTACTTGCAGTGTTTCTTGGCTGCCTTTCAGGGAAGAAGCCCTCATGAGGTGGAGTTCAGTAATAAAAGTAGGTGGGACTCTTATTATGGTTAGCATGTTGGATGGGGACCCAGGAGATCTGGACTCTCGCCAACACTCATCCATGAAGCTTGCAAGGTGCCTCCAGACCAGTAACAGCCTCTCGACTGCCCCACAGAACAGAATGTTGTGAGGATAAAATGAAAAGGAGGGGCTCCCCACATGAACAGCTTCAGGAACAAAAGGCAAGATATAAAATACTGCAACACAAAGTAGGTAAAGAGATGATAGCAAGGGAGCTCGTAAAGGAGGCAACATGGGGGCCAGGTACAGCCATTGAAGAATAGAAGCTGGAGGGCCGAATTGGCCTCTAGTCCCTACTCCATTTTGAAGCTCAAGGGCCCTCCTGATTCTCTTCCTAGCTTACCTCACAGAGCTGTTGTGAAGATAGAGGGCCAACCAGCGAGCCTCCATAGATACCATGCAAAAGCAAAACGTGGCAGGACGCTCGTATAATGAAGAAAAGGAACACAAATACACTCAGTGTGCTACCAGTATTGTTAAAAATGTGCGCCTGGGGACCTGGCAGATACGCGTCCGAACCCCCACACGGCGCCAAGAAATTCATCCGGGAACTCCGGGCCAGTCACGAACACTCTCCCTAGCCAACCTCATGGGGCTCTTGTGCGGATTCAAAAGGAGGGCGGGAGGAGGGCTGTGCGAGGGGCCCTGACGCAGTGGGATAGGGGCACGAGGCGGGACGGACCCACCACGACCGGGTAAGGGAGCCAAATAGCGACCAAACGGCAAGTGAGGCCTGCGACGACAAGCAGGCCTGGCGAGGAGGCCGCGCTCGCCCCCGCCCGACACACAAAGGCCCGCGCGCGGCGGACATCTTGAGCCGCCTTCTCGGCCACGCCCCCTCGCGCGCGTGCCGAGCCCTCTCCGCGCCCCCCCCGGCGTTGCGCGCAGGCGCACCAGGAAGAACAGCGCGCGCGCGGGGCGCGAACCGAGGCGCCTCAACGGCCGGGACATTCGCTGCGAGGGGGGCGAAGATTAGAAGCAAGCCTGGAAGCAGCCAATCAGGGCAGAAGCGATGAGGCGAAACGAGAAGAGCGCGCGTGCGCCGTCCAATCAGCGAAGAGGAGCGAGCAACCCAGGGGAGACGGACAGAAAGAGGGCGCGCGCGCGCGCGCGCAGCGCGGCCACACGAGGAGGGGACACGCGCCGCCCGCCCCGCCCTCCTCCGTCCGCAAGCCCCGCCCCTCGCGCCCCCGCCCGTCGTCCCCTCACGCACACGCTCGCTCGCTCACCGATGACCTTCTTGTCCCCGCCGGCGGGGGGCGCCGCCGCCGAGCCCAGGCCGCCGTTGGTGCCGTTGCCGCCGCCGCCGCCACCCCCGCCGCCGTTGCT